TATGCAGTTAGTATCATTATTATAATTTAACTAATTCATCTATTAATAATTAGATATACTCCATTCGCTTAGCTCGGGCATATTTTGACAGATTCATTGTCGGAAACCTACAACACAACAATTCCTACTTCTCAGTATTAATAGCTCAAGTATATTATTACTGCAGACTTCTTTCTTTGAAAAAAGAAGAATTATTCTAAATAGTGGAAGTGTATACTAAACCCATCAAATTTTGGGTAGTATACATTTAAAAAATATATTTTAGTTGTTATAATTTAACATAACTATTTATTATATGGTGCAGATAAATAAATATTGATTGTCGGTAATTCGCAAAGTTCTATTTTATTTACTATTTAGTTTGTTTACTATTAATATTGGGTATGAGTACGTGTGCTTGGTTGTATAGTAATTTCCAGCCACTTTTAGTCTGTCAAAAAGTAACTAACTTTGCAAAAAAATAATTACTAAATTCACTAAATAGTTCGGTCTGGGAATAGCGAACCGAGTATATATTCATTTTATCATTGCCAATGTGCTACTTTTAACTTAACAAAAACATGTATTATTGGACTTCAAATAAAACACGTCTGTTCGAAAGGAATGCCAACTCGTGAATCAACGATGAGAATGAGATTATAGAAAACTCACACGTAAATAAAATAATATCAACGGCACATAACAACAATGCAATATTGATAGATATAAAATAAGAGCTACAATATCAGCTGACGAAGAAAGTGTGATCAAATTCTTAAAAGAAAATGCGTTCAAAAATACTTTATATTTATTTATTTCTTAGCTCAAGAATTGCGACCATTATTTCAGAATGTATGGCATAAATATTTTACAAAATTAAAATTGAATGAAAGTATAAAACTAGTTAACAATGTATTATTACCGGAAGAAAGAAATCAACTAAAATCAAAGCATCAGCTAATCAACACTAATTATCGTGGAATTCCAGATATTAGAGCTTTAAAAATAAATTATTAGCAAAAAATGTGTTTTCTTTAAAAAAAAATTCCTGGGCGATATTTTGCTTTAAAAAATCTTAAATAAAAATATATATCAAAAATCAAAACGATTTTTGATATAATGTTTTTATTATAGAGCTATGGAACAGAAGTATTGTAAAGTTAATCATACTTCAACATATCGCTGTATCAGTGCTATACTGTAACATCTCAAAATTTGTATGTTTTGAGATAAGAATAAATTACTATGAATGAATGATGGTTCTTTTCAGACCAATACTGTGCTATCTTAAAATATTTTTTTTTCAAATTATAATTACATCTTACGGTTCTGTGCTTAAAGACCTTATATTACAGGACAATAGAATAATAACTAAAAATGTTACGGTGTTGCTCCAGAACAATTGTATAATAATCAGAGCAATACAATACTATAATGCAATTGTAATATACTGTAATAGTATTACCTGGACTATATTGTAGGAATGTTTGAAGTGTTGCGAAATCAGCATAAGCATACAGCCAGTATCTTACAATGTTTACAAGACTGATTAACTGCTGTTTTTGATAATTTTTATTATTAAACAATAATTACTTGTATGATTAATATGGATGAATTTGTAAATAAGTTAAATGAAGGAAGAGGAAAACAGTTACTGTCCCTCCTTACAGCTAATACACAGGTAAGAGTTGATGGCTTACTTTTTAAGTTAACCTCAAATTGATACGTTTTTAAATCGTTTATAATGTTCATAACTAATACAGGACTATTCTAGGATAAAAACCTGCTGATAATAATTAAAAAAAAAAACAAGTTCACCTTACGGTTACAAGTTTGTTTTTACAGGGTGATATTCTTTTTCAGATAACGCATGGCTCAGTTTTTGAGAATATTGTTCCAAATCAAGTTTCATTTGACACTACTGAAGAGCCAAATTATATCTTACGTGAACACAATGGGAATAGGGCTCCTGCTAGCGAAAAAAACTCTCCTGTGACCGGTAACAATCAGATTTTATTCGAATATAATATTCCAAATAGTGACAATCTAATATCGAAAGCTAGTAACAAACTTCAGCCTAACGTTCAATTAGGTAATGACGAAAATGTCATTCTACCAATCGAAATTTCCACTTTAGCACTTCATAAGTTAGGTGATAGAGAAATACTTACTTTCCATTTGGAAAATAGACCTGATGGTGTTTCAGAAAAAGACATTGTAGAAGCGGATTTTGTGTATACGTTGATAGAAGAAGCAATGCCTCCGATTATAGAGAGCGATAGTGATAGACATAAAATAATAACTAACAGTGACAACAGCCCTTACGATTTGATAAATCCGATGGTCATTAATGAAGACCAAAACTCTCTAGATAGTAATGGAGAAGACCCAAATGACAAGGATTATGTACCTAATTTTATCTTGTTGAACTCAGACTCACAATCAGAAAACAGTTTTGAACCTAATGAAGATGAGCCTAATCCTGAAAGGAACGAAATAAATGAGCAAACGTTTAATAAAACCTATTGAAGAGGTTTCTGAGGAAAGTGGAGAATCTGTAAAAAAACTCAAAGAAGACAGTTAGAAATGAAAGCTTGTGGGTCAAGAACATTAAGAAAATGAAAGTAAATAAAGGCGAGGCTGACAGAACCAAATCAGGGACACTTGTGGATAAGAAAACTTTAAAAACTGGCTGTGGTGATAAATCCAGGTTGAAATGTTCGTTAAAACTAAATTTAGATGTTCGACAAAAACTTTTGAATGCCTTTCTTGGTCTTCATGATGCTAACCGGAAAAGAGATTTTATATCTAAGTTAATGGAAGAACACCCAAAGTATAGTTACAAAAAGGAGAACTCTCAGCGAGCAACAAACTACAGGTACCATTGTATTGTAGATGGAAAGAAACTCCAAGTTTGTTAAAACATGTTTACCAACACTTTTTGTGTTAGTGCAACCTATCTTACTACTGTAAAGAAGGAAACTACGTTCTCTGGTATAATACTTGAAGATCAAAGAGGAAAACATCATAACCAACCACATGGTTTTGGACACATAATATTGGATTTTTCATTCCAAGTCCAATGTTCTTTATGTGCCAGTTATCAGAACAGTACAGAGCAAGATAAAACAAAATATAGAAGAGGAAGTAAAAATTCACAAAAAGGAGAAAGATCTATCTCGTGCAGAGATAGATCTTTCTCCTTTTTGTGAATTTTTGTGAATCGTGCAGTTGTTGCTTGCTTTGATCTTGAAGCTGTATTTCAACTTCCAAAGGGGCAAATATCAACTTTTTATTATAAAAGAAAACTAAACACCTACAATTTTACGGTTTTTGACAGCACAACTAAGCAAGGCCATTGCTATATTTAGCATGAAGGGTGTGCAAAACGTGGAGCTTTAGAAATCGCTTCATTCCTTTTTGATTTTTTAAAAGAAAAAGCTAATGGCAAGTCAGTTATTTTTTATTCTGACAACTGCAGTGGCAAAAATAAAAACCACGTTCTCTTATCAATGTATCTCCATGCAGTACAAACTTTAGATATTCCTTCAATTACTCATAAATACTTAATTGTAGGTCATACTCAAAACGAGGGGGATAGCATACATTCTTCAATTGAAAGACAGTTAAAAAAAGCCATTAACAAGAACCCTCTTTATGTTGCTAGCCAACTAGTTGCTGTAGTTCAAATGGCAAGCAAAGAAAAAAGACAATTATTTCGGGTAAAGGAAATGGACACATCAGATGTATACGACTGGACTGCAATAGAAAATTCTTTTCCGGGTAAAAATTCCCGATACTCCATATCAGGTGAGAAAGTAGTATGGGCGAACGTTAAAACATTTCAAGTAAGGAAATCAACCCCATTGACTGTTTTTTATTCTTATAGCTTAAGCTTACAGCTTAAGTATTCTTATGAGCAAAAGGAAATGATGTCTTTTAACCTGGATGATAAAATAACAAAAAAGAAAGACGGTTCTCTTGTTGTTGTGTCTAGAGGACATTCTTAACTGACTTCTAGAGGTGTCCGAACGAAACGTAGAAAAACAAAAGAACAGCTGCCGTACTTTAGATCATTAGTAGATTTGTTAGCCAAAGAGACCTCTCACCAACTCAAACAAGCATATCGAGCTCCACCAGGGATTCCTCTTAAGAAAAAAGCGGATTTAATAAGTTTATGTTCTGCCTTATCATAACTTTTTCCATGGGTTGAGAACCAAAGACAATGATGATGATAACTAAGTCAGTGTAGTTTATTCTGTTAACGTGTACTGAATACAGCCAAAAAATAAATGTAGTTTTTTTAAGATGGCATTGTCAATAAAGATTGTTTAAACTCCATTAGGAAATAGTGTTTTACTAAAACTTTCTTAACAACATTTACACAACAATCACTCAATATTTTTATTATATATATATATATATATTTATATATATATATATATATATATATATATATATATATATATATATATATATATATATATATATATATATATATTATTTCAGAGCTAAAGTAGAAATTTATAACATTGTAGAAAAAATTTAATTTAATGTCATTTAATTTTCAGAACAAAACAGTAACATCTACAAATAAACGTAACAGTTTTAAAACTTGTTGAAACGTTCAGTTCAATATTCTAACAACTCAAATTCCTTCCATTTAAGCCAATAAATAAAAAATGTTTTAAAAGATAATACTTAGTGCTTTTTAAGATTGTACAAGACTAATTTACCTAAACTAACAACTAACTGAGAAATGAAAATAAACAATAATTTTCGCTGAGGCGTCAATATTAAGGCATGAAAAACTTTAAACCCGTTTTTCTCAAAATGGTTGATTTTGAGATAATACAGTGTTGCACGGAGGCAGCGATATTAACACAGACTTTATAATTTTTCCGGTATTTTTATAATTCACAGGTTTTAGTATGTAACTTTTGATTAATATAATGAAATACGTGTATCTTTTAAATAAATTTATTGTTTCTCTAAATACATTGTCTGATTATTATTTACTTTTCGCATCACCTTTTTGCCTTAGAATTCTGATACTTGGGTCCAAATCAAATAACAGCTCAGTGTGCGATTTCTTATGTTGTTTCAAATAAGTTGGTGTAGTAAACTGCTTAAAACTAACTTTGCACTTTAAGGATCTTCTACAGTATGGGTTCTTTTATGTTGTTTTAAATTACCTAACTGAGAAAACTGCTTCAAACAAATTTCGCACTCGTAAGGATTTTCTCCAGTATGGGTTCTTTTATGTTGTTTTAAATTACCTGACTGAGAAAACTGCTTCAAACAAATTTCGCACTCGTAAGGATTTTCTCCAGTATGGGTTCTTTTATGTTGTTTTAAATTACCTGACTGAGAAAACTGCTTCAAACAAATTTCGCACTCGTAAGGATTTTCTCCAGTATGCGTTCTCATATGTTGTTTCAAAGCACCTGTTAAACCAAACTCTTTATGACAAATTTCGCACTTATAAGGTTTTACTCCAGTGTGAATTGTTGTATGAGTATATAAAGTATGTTTCCGAGTAAACTGCTTAAAACAAATTTCGCACTTGTGAGGTTTTTCTCCAGTATGAATTTTTGAGTGGTAATATAAAGAACTTCTCTGAGTAAACGGCTTAAAACAAATTTCGCATTTATAAGGCTTTTCTACAGTGTGCGATATTTTATGTCGTTTTAAATTACTTTTCTGAGAAAACTGCATAAAACAAATTTCACACTCGTAAGGTTTTTCTCCAGTATGCGTTCTCATATGTTGTTTGAAATTACCTGCTACACCAAAATCTTTATGACAAACTTCGCACTCGTAAGGTTTTACTCCAGTGTGACTTTTTGTATGATTAGATAAAGTATTTTTCTGAGTAAACTGCTTAAAACAAATGTTGCACTTGTAGGATTTTACTGTGTGGATTTTAATTGTGTGGATTTTCTTATGACGATGTAAAGTACCTTTAAGAGTAAACTGCTTAAAACAAATTTGGCACTTGTGAGGTTTTTCTCCAGTGTGTATTCTCATATGTTGTTTCAAATTACCTGCTACACCAAATTGTTTCAAACAAATTTCACATGTAAACGTTTTTTTTTTAGCAGATCGGTCCATGAATTGTTCTTTTTTATTATAATTTTTTTTGTTACATGAACCCATAAGTATTGATTTCAAGATTTCCGATGTATACTCCATATCAAAAGTGCCTAAAATAAAAACTAAAATTTATATTTTTTTAGTTTAAGAAAATATTTGGTGGCAACAGAACAGACAATTTTAAAAATTCACTGTCTATGGACAAAAGTACCGTAATTACGATAGAAAGCCTCAACTGAACTATACTAAAACATATATTATACTAATAATTAACACAAATTAAATGATTGTCTTTTTAAAAAAACACGTGGCTTAACTTATGGATCACAATTCTATATTCACTTATTGTAATTTAAAATAAATTTAATGGCATCATTATGTGATCATTAAACAATAGATTAGTTCATAACATAATGTAACATAATACATAATGACGGTATTGGATTTTGATTCGATACAGAGCAGCCACAAGCCGCATATACGTATTTTGACCTCTTTAGGTCTCCTCAGTACGGTATAGCCACTACTCCGTATCGAAACAAAATATTTTCCCGTCGTAGACCATAGTTATCAAAAATAACTACTGTACAGACGTAACTACGCCATCTAAGAACAAAAAGAGAAATCATACGATTTCTACCTTGCGATATCGCCTTTTCTCTTTTTGTTCTTAGATGGCGTAGTTACGTCTGTACATAGTTATTTTTGATAACTATGGTCTACGACGAGAAAAGATTTTGTTTCGATATGGAGTAGTGGCTATACCGTACTGAGGAGACCTAAAGAGGTCGAAATATGTATATGCGGCTTGTCGCTGCTCTGTATCGAATCAAAATCTAATACCGTCATTATGTTTTATTTCTTTATTTCGTTTGGAGTACCAGAAATTGAATTCACTACGAATTTTGACCATGATCAACGGCATTTGGAATGCAATCTTAGATTCCCTTGCCGATTTATTCATCAAGCTGTTTGCTTTGCAAGTCTAAGTGAGAGCGCCCACCAAACTGACGTGGCAGTGGCAAGTAGCAAGTAGCACGCATCTAGCATGTTATTTTTAAATGTAACCAATGAAAAAAAATTATTACAATGAATGACGTCACTATCATTTTGGTGAGCGCTGAATCATTCGTTTTCATTGGTTACATTATGCTATAGTGTATTTTTATGTACGAGAGAGTAATAAAACAATAAATTATGTATGCAAATCCCTAAACTGTTGATACGGGTGACTCAATGAAAAACAGATATTTGTCAACAAGTTTACAGAAGTATATAGGAAAACAATTTTAAATTGAGTATGACCACCAGGTATAAAGGTTGGAGCAGAATAGAATACAATAGTTGTGAGGGTTACTAATCCCTAAATAAGGTTGCCAGTGTCGGAGTGATGGAGGTTAATAGGTACTAATGAATTTGCAAGAAATGTAAGATGTTTATTTTATTGGTTATATATAACCAATAAAAGTTTAATAAGTACCTACCTATTTGCAAAATAAAGTTTAATTCTATAGATAAAATAAAACGTTTTATTTTATCTGAAATGAGTGCATTCCACGAAGTAAGGGTTTCAACAATCAAACATTTAATTCTTTAATTCCAGGAATCTACGACAGTAATTGACTAGATAATTACCTTCTAAACTTATTCCACAGAAAATGTGATAGTGGTTTTTTCCATTTTGTAGGAAGGTCCAAGTGGCGTATTCAAAATTCCAAACAGTTCACTAAAAGTAGGTACTTCAGTTGCAAGGTGCAGTTTATTGTGTATACTAGTGTTATGGAAAATTTGGGAGTGCCGTGTAAACGCCGAAAAAATGGTCCTTTAACAGTTAATGAAAAAACATTAATATTTAATTGTTTTAAATCATTTACAGACAAACGTTTATGTGAAAGTGTTGATGAGACCGTTGAGTTAGTTAGCAGTACACTTGGCGTTGGGAAATCTACGATTTACAGAGTTATTAAAGAAGAGAAATGTGTTAGTTTTCAAATGCCACGTAATGCTCCAGGGAAACCAAAATTCCAAATAGAATATCATTTTAAAGAAGAACTTCGACGGAAAGTGCATGAATTCTTCTTTAAACAAGAATTTCCAACATTGGATAAAGTTCTTGTATCAGTTCGAGATGATAAGGATTACCCAGAAATGAGTCGAAGTACGTTATGGAAACTTTTAAAAGAAATAGGCTTCCGCTGGAAAAAGAATCCCAGAAAGTCTATTTTATTAGAAAGAAGCGATATTGTCATATGGAGAAGATATTTTCTAAGAACCATAAAGGAAATGAAAAACCAAAAAAAAAAAATATTTTATCTTGATGAAACATGGATCAACGAGGGTCATACACCAAACAAATTTTGGCAGGATGAAACTGTTACAAGTCAAAGGCACGCTTTTGTAAATAACTTATCTACTGGTTTAAACCCACCATCAGGAAAGGGACGCAGGCTGATAATAGTACACATTGGCAGTTCAGACGGTTTTGTTGAAGGTGGTTTATTAACTTTTGAATCAACTCGTACCGGAGACTACCATGAAGACATGAACGCTGATGTCTTTCAAGAATGGTTCGAACAAATGATAGATCTTCTTCCTAAGAACTGTGTAATAGTAATGGATAATGCAAGTTATCACTCCAGACTTATAGAAGGACTGCCCACAACCAAGTGGTTAAAAAAAGACTTGCAGAATTGGCTGAGTTCAAAAAATATTACGTACCATCCCGGATCTATAAGAAAGGAACTTTATTCGTTGTGTGTCCTTCATAAAGAAAAATTTAAAAAATACGAAATTGATCAAATTGCCAAAAATCGTGGAATGACAGTACTTAGATCCCCACCATATCATTGTGGATTAAACCCGATTGAACTGGTACGGGCACATATAAAGAGTGAAGATTCAAGAAAAAATGCCATTTTTAAAATTCATGATGTTAAACAGTTGTTTTTGGAGGCCGTAAATAATGTAAAACCTGAAAACTGGGAAAAGGCAGTAAATCACACTATTAAAGAAGAGGAAAAAATGTGGAAGCTGGACAATATTACTGATAAAATGATCGAGCCAGTTATTATAAATCTTGGTTCTGAAAGTTCATATTCTGAATCTGATTTGGATTTGTAACAAGTAGCTGTAAGTTTTATATTAATATTTTTATTCATCTATTTAACATACCTTGAGACAGTTTTAAAAACTCTTTTTCTATTTTGTAATTTTTAAAAATTAAAAAAAATGTGAATTTTTTAAAACCCTTTTGAATGTAGGCCCGTCAGTTCTAATATAGTGTGTGATAAAAGAGGTCACTTTTGTTTACATACACATAGCACTTTATAACACTGAAATAATTCATTTATTTTTTACAATTATTCAAAGTAATTTTTCAATTAATCTTGAGCACGCCCATGGAGTGGTCGGAGATACCAGTTAAAATTATGCTAATTACTCTCTCGTTCATAAAAATAAACTATAATTAGTAAAATAAAAGCATCCGCTAATCAACGATAATTATCGTGGAATTCCAGATATTAGAGCTTTAAAAATAAATTATTAGCAAAAAATGTGTTTTCTTTGAAAAAAAAAAATTCCTGGGCGATATTTTGCTTTAAAAAATCTAAAAAAAAGAATTGGACATATATTTTAATGCACAAAAACAGTCTAATAGGCAATTTTTGGTAAACTTCTAAATAATTAATTTTCGTGTATTTTTATTCGTTCTGTTGAACAGCGGGATTAGATTTGCCATGTTCTCTCCTAAACGTACTCATAACATAAAACGAACCATTTTTTAAAGACTCAACTATATGTCAATATATAACGATTTTTGATATGTTTTTATTATAGAGCTATGGAACAGAAGTATTGTAAAGTTAATCATACTTCAACATATCGCTGTATCAGTGCTATACTGTAACATCTCAAAATTTGTATGTTTTGAGATAAGAATAAATTACTATGAATGAATGACGGTTCTTTTCAGACCAATACTGTGCTATCTTAAAATATTTTTTTTTCAATTTATAATTACATCTTACGGTTCTGTGCTTAAAGACCTTATATTACAGGACAATAGAATAATAACTAAAAATGTTACGGTGTTGCTCCAGAACAATTGTATAATAATCAGAGCAATACAATACTATAATGCAATTGTAATATACTGTAATAGTATTGCCTGGACTATATTGTAGGAATGTTTGAAGTGTTGCGAAATCAGCATAAGCATACAGCCAGTGTCTTACAATGTTTACAAGACTGATTAACTGCTGTTTTTGATAATTTCTATTATTAAACAATAATTACTTGTATGATTAATATGGATGAATTTGTAAATAAGTTAAATGAAGGAAGAGGAAAACAGTTACTGTCCCTCCTTACAGCTAATACACAGGTAAGAGTTGATGGCTTACTTTTTAGGTTAACCTCAAATTGATACGCTTTTAAATCGTTTGTAATGTTCATAACTAATACAGCACTATTCTAGGATAAAAACCTGCTGATAATAATTAAAAAAAAAAAAACAAGTTCAACTTACGGTTACAAGTTTGTTTTTACAGGGTGATATTCTTTTTCAGATAACGCCTGGTTCAGTTTTTGAGAATATTGTCCCAAATCAAGTTTCATTTGACACTACTGAAGAGCCAAATTTTATCTTAGGTGAACACAATGGGAATAGGGCTCCTGCTAGCCAAAAAAACTCTCCTGTGACCGGTAACAATCAGATTTTATTCGAATATAATATTCCAAATAGTGACAATCTAATATCGCCAGCTAGTAACAAACTTCAGCCTAACGTTCAATTAGGTAATGACGAAAATGTCATTCTACCAATCGAAAATTCCACTTTAGCACTTCATAAGTTAGGTGATAGAGAAATACTTACTTTCCATTTGGAAAATAGACCTGATGGTGTTTCAGAAAAAGGCATTGTAGAAGCGGATTTTGTGTATATGTTGATAGAAGAAGCAATGCCTCCGATTATAGAGAGCTAGAGTGATAGACATAAAATAATAACTAACAGTGACAACAGCCCTTACGATTTGATAAATCCGATGGTCATTAATGAAGACCAAAACTCTCTAGATCGTAATGGAGAAGACCCAAATGACAAGGATTA